TTTCCCTTCCAAGTTTTTCTTTCCAAAAGCCCTTTTCACCTGTCTTGATCTCCCTTCTGCTCCGATACAGTCCTGAACCACATTATCCTGAACTCTATTATCCTTTCATAATCCCGTCCACATGTGCAGTCTTCTTATAATTACCCCTGCAACAATTATCATAATCATGCACAGATTAATTGAAACCTCATTTCTTTTATATTCAAATCCTACTGAATACGTGTGTGCACATGAACCTCTACCAAATCCTATCACATAAAAATCCTGTACAAAAACACAAACCCACACAAAATCCTCTCTTAACCCTGAAAACACACTTCCTGCTGCTCCATATGTAATTTGCAACCTAGACTGTTGCAATAGGCTTTATTTAATTTTTTTTTCTCCAACATTTGTTGGAGCTTCCTGAAACTAAGAGCCACGTGAAGATGGCCTCTAACTTGTGGGGGACAGGGGGCTTCACAGCTAGAGGAAAAGGGACCTTAGGATGCTCTCATCTGGGCCATTTAATTACACTCAGTGATTTCTACATCAAGGCTAATGCACATCTTTGGAAAGCCATTCCCTCTAGGTTTAAAAAAAAGTTACTGCATTCATTTGCTCAAAAAATTGTTTCAATACTTAATTATCTTCACTTAAGAATTTGTGCATTTTTAGTTTGAATGTTCCAGACTCCAGTTTCTATTTGTTGGATTTTGCTCTGTTTTGATCTAGGTTTTTGTTTGGAGTCTTCTACTATCAAATATTTTCTCCCTAGCAAGTCCTACTAGATCACGTTTGATAAATGAAAAAAACTGACGTCTTCAAGTTTCTCTCTGTCAGGTTTTTTTTCTAGACAACTAAACAATTTTGTAGTTTTCAAAACCCTATTCAAGTTTTACGGTCATTGTAAACATGTAAATGCCAGCTCGATCACCACATGGCATGGCTCGGTAGCCTCAATTCACCAGGGGCAGGTGCCCTATCTGTAGTTGGCCTTATACAGCTACATTTTCAAAAGTGCTGAGTGGGAGGAGATTCACTGACCATTATTTGATTAAATATATCTTTTTCCTTTAAGTTTAATCTTCCCCACCCAAAAAATGAGGTACCAGAGTGTGCCACCTGCTCCATATTTTAGAAACATTTCCTCACAAGATCAAAACAGTCCTTTTGATTTAATGTAACCTAAACTGAATTAGGTTTTCATAGGTTTCATAGACATTACGGCTGGGAGGGACCTCGGAAGATCGAGTCCAGCCCCCCACCCAAAGGGCAGGAAGTCAGCTGGGGTCATAAGATCCCAGCAAGATAAGCATCCAATTTATTCTTGAAGGTGTTCAATGTAGATGCTTGAACCACCTCCAATGGCAGGCCATTCCAGACCTTGGGGGCTTGGACAGTAAAGAAATTCTTCTTTATGTCCAGCCTGAAATGGTCTTGCAGTAGTTTATAACCATTCGACCTCATCATCCCTTGGCGTGCTCTGGTGAACAACCGTTCCCCCAGATACTGGTGGTCACCCCTGATAAACTTGTAGGTGGCCATCAGATCAC